TATTAATTGCGGTTCTAGGCCAACCAGCCAGCCAGCAAGTCCTTCGAGGGGAGCCCAGGATCTTGGCCTAATTGTTTTTTGTTCATTACAGCTTGTGCTGCAGGATTCAGGGTAGACAGGCAACATATTTCCACAACGTCATTAAATCACGGGGAAGAAGTAAAAGCACAAATAATCATTTAATTGCCTTTTCAGAGCCGGCTTGAGTCACAGTCGTTACCCCGGGCTGGCAAAGTGTGGGCCATAAATAGTAACTACAGCTCAAAAGTGAAGGGCTGAGCTGTATCCTTTCCCGAAGCTATGGGTATGTATGTGAGGTGACCAGGATGTCCGTGCCACCAAAGAGCAATGCAATAGTCAAGCTACACTGGAAATAAGGACATAATTTTTTTCAAACTAAAATTTAATAGAACAAAAAGCTTTAAATAATAAAGCCTTTTTAACTCATAAAAATAAAGTGTTAGAGATTTGTTTAATTTTTTTTAGAAGTGCATTTTGAGTTTACTGATGAGTGGGCAAAAATGTTGCTGCTTAATCATGGACTTGGGGGCTGAGAGTGGAGGGAAACTGGCCCAAAGGCGTTGGACGAGGAAGCGGAAATGATGCTCGCCGGCAATTTATTTGAAACCGCATAAAACAAGCGACGAGTAAAAATGTTGCCGCCACTCTTTTGCTGGTGCTGCTTCTGATGTTGCTACTGCTGTTGCAGCTACTAGACGCTGTTGCCGAGCGGCTAATGAACAAACAGAGCAGCACAGATAGGGAACGGATGATGGAAACCTCAGTAAACAACTGCAGTGCTGGTAAATAGACGAACGGCAAGGACTTGGCCCGTAAACAGGCCCGGCTGCATAAGCAAAAACAGAGCAGCCCAGAAAGAAAACAGCCACGGCAAACGGCAAACCAAAGCTGCGCAAAGCTGCCAACTAGAGCAGCGTTATTAACTTGAATAAAAATATTTACTGCCCGTCGAGCACTCCAGTTATCAATGGTGATGCAGCTTCAGCTGCAGCTGATGACAACTTGGGACGGGAGTGCTGGGACGGGATCCTAGACGGAACTAGGACGGATGGCAAAGGAGGTGCCACGGATGATGACGATGATGAAACGGAGCACTTAGTACGCTGCCGGCATTTACTTTGGCACTCAGAAGTACGCCACAGCTACGCCTTTTTTTATATTTTCATTTTTTTCCATCGTTTTTTTCGCCTTTGTTTGCCCACCCTGATTAAAGTTTATTTTAATTTGTTGCTGTTGTTCTTTGCCTTTGGTGGTGCGGCTTGGCTTGCTGTTTTTACTTTGGCTTCTGCCGCTTCCCGTTAAGTGGCACAATTTGGTGGCGCTCAAGCTGTTCTTGCCTCCTGCCCGCCCCAGTCGACGATGGCTGCCTGCCATCTTCATAACGCATCGTCGCTCAGGCGTGACCCAAAGTGCAGCCGAGTGGGAAAAGCAACCGCGACTGCTGCCAAAAAGGGAACTGCACCCACAGATGGGCCCTGATGCTGATGCCAAACCAACCAGACCAGGTATCCAGGCGAATACACTTTACCAAAATATCAGGAATAATTAATTCCCAAGAAAGACTTATCTATCAATGCTTTCTTCGTCTGAAAAGCATTTTAAGTAAAGGGTGTTGTTAATCTTTTAATTGCTGTTTGATTTTTCAGCTTAAAACCTTTTCAAGATAAAGTGTCTTATTATTCTCTAGATACTAGAGTTTTTTTCTTTAACTGTGTCAGGCATCCCAAGCTAAAGGTGGCGGGAATACATGCGCGAATTAATCTTAATTGAAATTCCTTGCTGCGGAGTTCCCCACTTGGCACCATGTGCTGTTTGCTCATGCAAATACCAGTCTATAATAAAATATTAAAGGAAATTAAAACGCTCACACGAAATAAGGATCTTGAAGAGAATTTGTGCCGCATTAAATTTCATTTTCATACTTTTTCTGTGAGCTTTGTGCGTTCACTCAAAAAACAAATACATATGCTCATGCCCGGGTATTCCAGCTCCCCGAAGCTCGGTTTATGTTCCACTTAAATGTTTTAAAATTGTATGCCACAGGAACTCTTCGAATCGCTTTTGCGCTCTGCCAACAATTAAGCAAGATGCTAATTGTTTCACAAAGCATTTTCACTTCGTCGCTTTGCAAGCACCTAGCCATTTTCCCCCTGGTTTTCGCCTTGGAAGCGTCCAGCTTAAATTGAAATTTAATGCCGGAGCATAAGAAGCTTAAGCTCTCTGCCGGATATGGTTGTACACATGTTAAGCACTTTTTTTTGCTTTGCCACCTCCAGCATCCTGCCTGAGTTTTTAGTTTGAAATCCTTTGGCAGATTGCTAACCAACTGCCTGGGGAGCTCTTGGGTGCCCCAACACCTCTCCATTCCCACATGCCCCTTGCCGGTTGAGCTCGAGCACTTTGTCTGTGGCTGTGCAGATTCTAATTTGTATGCAAATCAAAATCAATAGGATTAACCAAGTTACATAGTTGGGAGCATTGTCGAGTTTCCGAATGCCAGGGAGCTGCTTGGCTCAAAATTGTTTTATCAAAAATATTTCATTGCCAGTTACAGCACCTTTCCTCTCAAAAAGTACTGGCTTTGGGTAGATTTCAAAAAGTTCTGGGTTTACCAGAGCTTTGTTGTACTTCAATTTCAAAGTGTGAGTTTATGTTGGGATAAAGTTACCTGACTTGATTATTAAAATTATAAAATAATTTGCAAAGGAGTGTTTTTGTTTGAAACATTGTAACCTTAAGATTTCCTCACTGGCCGTATTTAAAAATATATGTATTCTAAGCAGCTTAAATTAGTCCAAAATAGTCATTTGTATCTTCCGCTATAAACTTTTAATATTAATTGGAAACTCTTGACAATTTTTGCTGACATTCAAAGCTTTTCACAGTCAGTTGGTTGCTTTCCACTTTTTCCCATTCATATGGCAGTTTTCTGGCATACATATGTATGTATAAATATTTTAAAAGTGGCGGCTACCAGAAAAGAATAAAAGGAATTACAATTTCGCGCGTGTGAGAGAGTGTCCTGGCTTACGTTTAGCCATAGGTTCTGCAGTCTGTACAGCGGCCTGACACTTTGCGATTCCACGGTGCAAAAATAATCCTCCGGATTCGCGTATATATTTTCTGGGGCAGCATGTGTTTGTGTTGGATGTCGCAGTTCTGGCGGTTCCCGTTTCCGTTTTCAGAGCCATAATCGCTGATGTCGTCGCATTGGATGCGGTCGTGTTTTGTGGGCGGATTCGGGCCATCCAGCGGCAGGTGTTGGGTGCCACTACTCGTGTGAGTTTAAATTACCAGCTGCAGCTGGCCGAGATTATGGCTGCCGTTCTGAATGTCGCTCTTTAGCATCGAACCCTAAATTGAAGCAATTAATTAATCTAATTAAGGAGAGGGCTGGCCCTAAGCACTGGGCCAAAAGAAATCTCTCCAATGCGCGGGCATGGGCCAAAAAACACTTTTGCTAATTTCATTAATTGTTTGCCCGGTTCTCTCGCAGCCGCGTGCCATTTTGCGTACAAGTGGCGCATTTAATTAGACTAATAAAGTAATTCAGCCAGCGAGTGTAAATGAAACAAGTGGAGCGCGAACGGCTCCTGCTAGAGTTGCCAACGCGAACTGCTAATAAAACAGTTATAATTAGTTGGCTGCCAAGGGGAAGGGCGGTGGCAAACAAGCCGGGGGCTTGGGCCAAAACAGGCTGTCTATGTCTGGCTGTGGCTGGAGGCCAGCTTGGCTGCATGATTCTGCCTACACATACATATATTCTATTTCCTTGCGGTTCGTTCGTGCCTGGCTCAATAAAATGAAATTATCCTTATGTGTGTTGGGTGAGAGAGTGGGTTGGGGTGCGTGGAAACGTTGGTTAAATTTGTTGCAAGTGATAAAGTGATTAGCACATTGTAACAGTCGCGGTGTGTGTGCTTGTTTTATGAGCGCGCCTATGGGCTATGCAACAAAATTTTTACGCTGCATTGCAATAATGGCGGCGCGGCGCGGCGATGCGTCCGCTTCCGTCCGTAAATCCATTTTTAATTAATTTCATAAATCAAGCTCAATGCATATATTTATGGGAATAAATCATGTAATTAACTGGCGCATAGTCACGTGGCCTGCTCTGCGACCTGGGTCAACATATGGCCACCAACCAAGTGACCAACGACCGGCGACCAGGCGACCGGCAGCAACTGCAGCCGTGGAGGTCGGCCATGATAAACAAGATATTAACGACTTAATTTACTGCAGCTCGTGTGCCCCGTCGAGTGTCTGCGTGGCCATAAACTGCAGGCACGCAACACAAATATAAATGGATGAATAAATAACGTGAGGCAACGAATAATGCGCCACACTTGACATTCAAACCCACAGGACTTACCCAATAATTAAAATAATTTTTTATTTATGTTCCCTAAAGCTAAGAAGCGAAGTCCCATTAGTATAAACGCTATACTTTGTTCTTTCGTTTAAATTAATAGTATTATAGTAATTATGGTAGTTTTTATTGCAATCTTATAGGCCACATTCGAATCGGAGTAGCGCACTCAACTTTGCGTCTCCTGTGTGAAATTAAAACGCTTAACGGTCGTGCAAATTTTCCCCCAACTGGCTTCGGCTTCTGTGTACGATAACCGCCAATTTTTCAATAAACTGCAATAAATGTTTATCCATTTATAAGCTTGGTGCAATTCTTCTTTATGTTGCTTCTGTTGTTGTTTGTTTTAAAAGCAAAGGTTGCAAAAAAACGACTCATTTTAATGGCTGTTCTGCACTGTTGGGTAACCACGAGCTCTTAACATCGTACTCCCGCAAAGGAAAGCTCTTTTGAAATTAAATTGCCCGATGTAAATGAAATATCTTTTACGTACATTAAACAAATACATTTTATATTATCAGTTACTACTATTGAACATGCATATACTCCACAAAAAGTACTTGTATCTCGCCGGAATAAAGCATCCATAGCATAAAGAAATTGTTTGCAAAAGTTAAGAAAATATTTCGACCTGATCGGCGCTTATACTTTCCAGCTTCTCTTTTAATACATGACCCTTGCACTTTTTGATACCAGGCCTAACACACAATCCAAAAGCTGTCACTTCTTTGAACCCTAAAAAGAAAATAAAACATGATCAGTACAAAATAAATATTAAAACATTATCCTACTGTATTCTTCGGGCAGGTGGCAATTTGTCATTTCCATTTCGCATGAGTTCCTAAAGACGGTGTAACATCGCTGGTTAAATCCACAAACTGGCCAGTCGATTAATTTAGTGCAAAATTTGCATCTACTTGCCTCGGCTCCCAGATAATACACTGTTACAAATGTACGTTAAAATAATTTTGAGAACTAAAAGGTGAACTTACAGATTAAAAGGAAGATTATAGTTGATTTCATAGTTGAATCCAAGAAGGCTAAGCTCTAACTGGTCTATCTGTCAGACCCACAAACTGTGCAAAATATTGGGTGTGTCGAATGAATTTCAGACAATTTGCATAATCACCGCAGCATTGCCAGCCGTGGAAAGGCCTTTTACTTTATTAGAAGTAAAATTAGAATGGAATTATAATTGCTGTAATACATAGTAGGTCTCTGCCCTGCTCCGACAGAGCCAAGAAGCTAGCAATGGATGTTGCATGTTGCTGATGGCACTGGTGTTGCCAGTGCAATTGCCGCCGGGTTAGCCAACTGCCAGCAAGGAAATGAAAACGCCCCCTTGTGAGGCAAAAAGCCAACGACCTGGGCAAGGCTGAACAGGAACAGGAGCAGCAAGTAAAAAAAAGAAACAAACACACTGGAGGAGTCATCGCCGGAGCCAGGACACAACGTTGGCCGTCCTGCCGCAGAGCAACTATAGAAAAAGAATGCCCTGCAACTGTGGGCCAGAGCTTCTGTTGGTGTCAGTCGGCAAGCTTACAGACTGGGCGTCTGTATCTGTGTAAGAAACGCATGTGTGTGTGGGACGCTCCAAGCTTTTAAGTATAATTTTCCAGAGACAGAGGCAAAAACTGGAGGCCAGGTGGCAAGAGCTAGACAAAAACGATGTATCCGCCCATACACAGAAGGCAACGGCAAAGGACTTCGACAAGGAATGGGACGGGACTAAACGAGTAGGTGGAGAAAATTTAATATGATTATGTTGAAGTAAATTGCTTGAAACAAATGTTGCATGGACAGGCGCCCTCTGATCTCCGCCCAGAAGCCACCTATCTGGATGCCAGACTTTGTCGGTGGGTGGTGGCTTGATTCGGTCGGTTGCCAGGCCTTTAAAAAGCAATTAAGGACAATACGATTTGGCCCTCAAAGGCTTCAAACTGTCAACGAGCCGGGGCAACGGGGGAGTAGTCGAGGGGAAAAGTGCCTCCATTATTGTGTGGCTAATAAAATACGTTTTGGGTCTCTGTGTGGGTCTGGGCGATAAACTTGCAATATAAATAATAAATTTGAAAAAGTGATCCCAAAATAAAACACCGTATCGAGGTGCTTTTGAAAATTTAATAGAGTTGTGAAAGTTTGCTGGCCCTGTTTGGAGCACAATTCATGGAAAATGGGTGATAAGTGGCCGTCGGCACAGCATGTGTTCCCAGGCCAATATTCGCAGGCTTTCAATACCCAAGTCACAAATTCCTGTCAACGTGCCATTTTGCCATGCCTGCCTTCTTGGGTCGATCTGCTGCATGCCACACGATTGGAATTTACGGCTTCGTTTATTGAATTGCAAAAAGTGCACATAATTCTACAGAGACTATGTGCTACACAGAGAGACAGTTATCCTTTTTTCCAAGGCTGTATGGAGCATTTTATGTACCTAATTGAGGTAAAGTGACGTAAAAAATATTGAAATTTCAAACAAAAACAGCCAACAACCGACATAAAATTCACATCGTTAGACTTATTATTGTTGCCTCATTTGCATGCAACAAAAATTTTGCTGTATATTTACGCCACACACACCCGTTTGTTGGCCAACTGCAACTAATTATCAAATGATGCGCACAGACAGTGGCAGAAACAGAAACAATATCAGGCAAGAGCCGTAGCGACAACAATGCCGTCAATGTTGGGGATGTGGCATGCCGCTGTCTGGCGTCGCCAAATCAATTGACATGCCTAGGCCGCGTCAACAGCCCTCTGACAATGATAATTTAATTGCACATTTCATTTTAATGAAATTCAATTAAAATATAAAATATTTTTCAATTGGATCTCTGAAACGGCCAGCATCCGCCCCGGAGCACGTAATTAAATTAATCAGTAATGCTTTCACTCATTGCCACCGATTCTGCCAAAGTCGTTGAGCTACCAATAAATTCAAGAGTTTTGGAGTGGGCTTACGGCATTGGAAAATAATTTGTAGAATTATTTATTCACAGGCTAACTGCTAATCGAATTTATTTATTTCGAAAATAAAATATGTCAACTATAATGATAGTATTCTGGTGGGATATGCTCTAAAAAATATTGAATAAAACCTTAACTTTTTAGCTAAAACTTAAAGCTTAGATGTGCAACTATGTGATGACGCTATTACTATTCCCACAAACTAGTTTTTTTTTTTAGAAATTTATTTGAGTTTTTACCAGTTAACCGCAAATTCAATTGAATAGAACCCAAAACCAAACAGAAATTTCTGATGCTGTCTGCGGCTTTTCCTAATCGAAATTAGCTTTGGCCTCAAATAGGCGGTGGCAATTAGCAATCAGGGGATTCGCGGTGCAAATGTGGACGCTGATGCGGATCCGGATGAGGATGGTGGGGAATGAGTTGTCCAGAGTTGTCCGTCTGATGTCACATTCAATAGAGAGCAAAGCCCAACATCCATTAAGCCACTGTCACAGAGAGGTGGAGCCCGTTTTTTTTCCACCAGCCGCACAAAGTGAGACAAAATAATTTAAAACGGGCACAGGACACACTGTCGGGAACGGCAAAAAACAATTATCTTCACACTAAAGCCCGGCACAGTGGCAAATGATTGACACAAGGCTGACAGGCGTTGCACACGCCTGACATGAACAGGATCAGCTTTGGAATAAAGGACTCACGCCCTGACGGAGCCAAAAACCCTTTTCGCCCCGCCAGTGGCGGTTGGTGGGGCCCCCAGTTTTGTAATCTTCTTAAATGTAAAGTTAACAATTTCAACCATTTGGCATCGGTCAAGGCACAAAAAAAAAATGCAAAGCACTTGCAACCAACATCAGAAAACTTTCAATACTGAATGCATACATAGAGTCTGACTCTCAATTTGATCCTGTTTTTGTTCGGAGTACCGAGTGGGCTCTCGGGAAAATGCATTCAAATGCGTTCCAGGGCCGAGGGACAAGAGTGCTAGTCATTTTGGGCTAGTGCCACTTTGCCTATGGTTTCAGGTCAATGGTTACGCATATATAAACACCAACACCCACAACAGAAACAGCACCAGCACCGACACAAGCACATTCCCACAAAAAGGGAACCACTTGAGGGTTATCCACTCTGGGCCGCAACACGAGGCGTATGAGTAATGTGAGCGACTCGTCTAGAAACACTCGACTATATGGCAGCCTTCACGCTGAACAGGGCTTCAAAACAGTGGAAGAGGGTGGTGAGGGAGTTGCCAAGGCAAGCAAAGATTCACCAAGGCATCAAGGCACCAAGACGTTGCGGGCTGTTAATTTGATTTCTTGTCAAAGCAAACGGCAGGTGCCAGCCACCAGCAGAACTGAAATGACAGAAGGCAACGATGCACAGAGAAAAATTCAATACAAATTCGATCTTAATTATCTTTTTAAAACTTAAATCAAAGAAAAATCTTTAAGAACTATGAAAATTTTTTAAAATCTCCATGAACACACTTTACAATCTTTCTCACAAAAACAAATTAATTTTCCCCTGTGCAATGGCCAAGATGTCTTGTCGTATTTTTGACTTTCTCTGGTTGTCGTTGACGTGACAATTTCACACGCAACGCACACAGTCGCGTTTGCTCAACATAAATAAACAATGGCTGACAGGTTGCGGGGATGGCCTACGATGCTGCCTTGGCAGCACGTTCTGGCCCTGTCGAATCGAAGCGTTAAATGGTTAACTTATCTCATTTTGTCGTATTAAAGACGACAACATAAAGCGTTCAACTGGATGGTTTCAGTGTCAGAAAAATGGTTCAAACTTTAGGGTTAAGTACTGTAGGGAGGGCAACTGAAGTGCAGTTGCAGAAGATGCCCCAAGCACTTGGTTAATTATGCAAACTGCAACATTTAATACATAATTAAATAGCTTGTCCATTGCATTTGCATTCATATACTGCTGCCCTCTCTAAAATCCGCTCAAGAGTGGCAGCTTAAGTCTTCCGCTTACAAAACCGCGATGCGCTTCATGAATTTCAAACAAAATGACGGCCAGTCAGTTGGCGGGTGACTACGGCATGATGGTGGCTTCATAAAAATGGCCAAAGCGCATTAAAATCATGAGCGCATAAAGGAATATTTTAAGCTAACAAAATGGCCGCAAAGTGGCGCAGCGAAGCGAGAGGGGGCGAGGGAAAGACCCCCAAGAATGGGCGCTTAAGCTAAAACGCTTTTCCAAAATGGCCGACAGCAAAGCGAATGATAAGCGCTGTTTTTTATGGAGCCTGCAAGCCGTGCGAGCGTTGCATGCATAAACCTACAAAATGGTGACACAATTCAATTGGCACTGACGGAATCTGATACTAGGAAGAGTCGCGACTATAATACTCTTTATTGAGACATTTATTAAAATAAATTTTCGTGGGTGACTCACTTAAATCCCCTGAGGAGTTGAAAAATTTAATCTTATCTCTGAGAAACCTTCACTTCCAAGGTTTAAGTTTTTGCCATTCTTATATCTAGAGCATAAATCTGTCGGACTATGCCTGACATAAAAATCGACTGCAATTTTTGGCCCTTTTGCCCTCGAAAGCTTCTCCAACATACACGCACACCCACGGATGTGAAATTGACAATATTTCACTGGTAAAAGCCGAATTTAGTTGCAGTTTGGCATCCGTTTTGGCCCATTGAACTTTGCCGTTGATTGCGGCAGCCCCTAACAAAAAAGTGCACAAATCGAAAACCTACAAAAGAAAATATACATTCACGGTCACAAGGGTTTGAAAATTTGTGCGAAAGCCCACCAAGAGCACTTTAAATTTTGGGCCGAAAATTGAAACGGTAGGACCTTTAAGATGGGAAAAAATAAAGGGCAGCCAGGCGTGTAAAATGTTATCGCAACATCAAATTTCATACATCATAAAACATATTGGCTTAGAAAGTAACAATTTTGATTGCGGTAAGACGGAACACCCAAGCGGAGCAAACACCCGTAGCATGCAATGAGGCGAGCTGGAAGGGCCCAGGACGCAAAACCCAAGGCCCGAGACCCAGGACACTAAGCGGCTTTGGGTCTTTTTTTTAGCTTGTCTCCTTATCGCCGCCAATGAATCTGTAGCAGGCTTCACGGCGCCTCTAAGTAGGTCATTCTTGGCAATGGCGACGCCTCGATGTGGTAGTTTCTTGGGCTAAATTCGTCCAGACAAGGGAATGACTTTATAACTAGCTGCTAGCCATAAAGCACATCCCACACACAAGCCGTATCTTAAATCTGGAAAAAATAGCAATAAATGTTAGAGTTTTTTAAGGCGTACGCTTAAACATCAACTAAGCAGAGTTTGAGATACTTGTTTAAGTGGAAAATCAATTCAAAGACTGCTAATCATTGATTCGGTCTGGTCCCTCCGACTCAAAAACTTTTCACTTTCAAAAGTTGGGTGAAAGTCATGCCTGGTTATGAGGCAAAAAGGTCCTGCGAAACTTTCTCCCAAGAAAGAGGATGCGCTCATCTAGCCTGAGGTAGCCAGTTCATTTTTGCGTTCGAAATGATGGCCAAAAGTTAGGGGCAACAGATGCCAAGCCACGAGTTTCTGGTATAAATCAGAAGCCAAAATCGAGTGTCTGAGCCATGTATGCAATTAATTGTGCCCTTTGCATATGCGTGAAATACAGGTATGTGTGGCAAGCTGGTAACTGCAGCCGGGGGAAATAGTTCAAAAGTTCAGACCGGCTGACAACAATCAGGTCGACAACCTAGCAGGAGAAAGGGACCCCCTGCCCCTGTCCGACCGCAACGTTGTCTGCCCGCATTGTTGTCAACATTTTTGTCGTTATCCTTTTGTCTGGCAGCAACGTGGCCAAGTGTGGCTCACACACTGTGCCACAAATACGCGCTGCAACTTCTGCTTAGACACATTCACTTTTACGTCAGTCAAAGTACATATGTGTGTACGTATTTTTCTTAAGACACTATTGTGTTCAAGATATTAAAAATTATAATAGAAAGTTTAAAATTGTATACCAGCTAGTCAAAGATACTCAAAATAGCAAGTTATTTTTATAATGCATGCAACATTACTGCAGTATTACAAAATGC